TAGAATGGACACAATGCAAGAAACATTTAACAAGGACCTAGAAGAACTAAAGATGAAACAAACAACGATGAACAACACAATAAATGAAATTAAAAATACTCTAGATGGGATCAATAGCAGAATAACTGAGGCAGAAGAACGGATAAGTGACCTGGAAGATAAAATAGTGGAAATAACTAATGCAGAGCAGAATAAAGAAAAAAGAATGAAAAGAACTGAAGACAGTCTCAGACACCTCTGGGACTACATTAAATGCACCAACATTCGAATTATAGGGGTTTTAGAAGAAGAAGAGAAAAAGAAAGGGACTGAGAAAATATCTGAAGAGATTATAGTTGAAAACTTCCCTAATATGGGAGAGGATATAGTTAACCAAGTCCAGGAAGCACAGAGAGTCCCATACAGGATAAATCCAAGGAGAAATATGCCAAGACACATATTAATCAAACTGTCAAAAATTAAACACAAAGAAAACATATTAAAAGCAGCAAGGGAAAAACGACAAATAACACACAAGGGAATCCCCATAAGGTTAACAGCTGATCTTTCAGCAGAAACTCTGCAAGCCAGAAGGGAGTGGCAGGACATATTTAAGAGATGAAGGAGAAAAACCTGCAACCAAGATTACTCTACCCAGCAAGGATCTCATTCAGATTTGATGGAGAAATTAAAACCTTTACAGACAAGCAAAAGCTGAGAGAGTTCAGCACCACCAAACCAGCTTTACAACAACTGCTAAAGGAACTTCTCTAGGCAAGAAACACAAGAGAAGGAAAAGACCTACAATAACGAACCCAAAACAATTAAGAAAAGGGAATAGGAACATACATATCGATAATTACCTTAAATGTAAATGGACTAAATGCTCCCACCAAAAGACACAGATTGGCTGAATGAATACAAAAACAAGACCCATATATTTGCTGTCTACAAGAGATCCACTTCAGACCTAGAGACACATACAGACTGAAAGTAAGGGGATGGAAAAAGATATTTCACGCAAATGGAAACCAAAAGAAAGCTGGAGTAGCAATTCTCATATTAGACAAAATAGACTTTAAAATAATGACTATTAGAAGAGACAAAGAAGGACACTACATAATGATCAAGGGATAGATCCAAGAAGAAGATATAACAATTGTAAATATTTATGCACCCAACATAGGAGCACCTCAATACATAAGGCAAATACTAACAGCCATAAAAGGGGAAATCCACAGTGACACATTCATAGTAGGGGACTTTGACACCCCACTTTCACCAATGGACAGATCATCCAAAATGAAAATAAATAAGGAAACACAAGCTTTAAATGATACATTAAACAACATGGACTTAATTGATATTTATAGGACATTCCATCCAAAAACAACAGAATACACATTTTTCTCAAGTGCTCATGGAACATTCTCCAGGATAGATCATATCTTGGGTCACAAGTCAAGCCTTGGTAAATTTAAGAAAATTGAAATCATATCAAGTATCTTTTCCAACCACAACACTATGAGACTAAATATAAATTACAGGAAAAGATCTGTAAAAAATACAAACACATGGAGGCTAAACAATACACTACTTAATAACGTAGTGATCACTGAAGAAATCAAAGAGGAAATTAAAAAATACTTAGAAATAAATGGCAATGGAGACACGACGACCCAAAATCTATGGGATGCAGCAAAGCAGTTCTAAGAGGGAAGTTTATAGCAATACAATCCTAACTTAAGAAACAGGAAACATCTCGAATAAACAACCTAAACTTGCACCTAAAGCAATTAGAGAAAGAAGAACAAAAAAAACCCAAAGTTAGCAGAATAAAAGAAATCATAAAAATCAGATCAGAAATAAATGAAAGGGAAATGAAGGAAATGAGAGCAAAGATCAATAAAACTAAAAGCTGGTTCTTTGAGAAGATAAACAAAATTGATAAACCATTAGCTAGACTCATCAAGAAAAAAGGGAGAAGACTCAAATCAATAGAATTAGAAATGAAAAAGGAGAAGTAACAACTGACACTGCAGAAATACAGAAGATCATGAGAGATTACTACAAGCAACTATATACCAATAAAATGGACAACCTGGAAGAAATGGACACATTCTTAGAAATGCACAACCTGCCAAGACTAAATCAGGAAGAAATAGAAAATATGAACAGACCAGTCACAAGCACTGAAATTGAAACAGTGATTAAAAATCTTCCAACAAACAAAAGCCCAGGACCAGATGGCTTCACAGGCAAATTCTATCAAACATTTAGAGAAGAGCTAACACCTATCCTTCTCAAACTCTTACAGAATATAGCAGAGGGAGGAACACTCCCAAACTCATTCTATGAGGCCACCATCACCCTGATACCAAAACCAGACAAGGATGTCACAAAGAAAGAAAACTACAGGCCAGTATCACTGATGAACATAGATGCAAAAATCCTCAACAAAATACCAGCAAACAGAATCCAACAGCACGTTAAAAGGATCATACACCATGATCAAGTGGGGTTTATTCCAGGAATGCAAGGTTTCTTCAATATACACAAAACAATCAATGTGATAAACCATATTAACAAGTCGAAGGAGAAAAACCATATGATCATCTCAACAGATGCAGAGAAAGCTTTCGACAAAATTCAACACCCATTTATGATAAAAACCCTGCAGAAAGTAGGCACAGAGGGAGTTATCCTCAACATAATAAAGGCCATATATCACAAACCCACAGCCAACATCGTCCTCAATGGTGAAATACTGAAAGCATTTCCACTAAGATCAGGAACAAGACAAGGTTGCCCACTCTCACCACTCTTATTCAACATAGTTTTGGAAGTTTTAGCCACAGCAATCAGAGAAGAAAAGGAAATAAAAGGAATCCAAATCAGAAAAGAAGAAGTAAAGCTGTCACTGTTTGCAGATGACATGATACTATACATAAAGAATCCTAAAGATGCTACCAGAAAACTGCTAGAGCTAATCAATGAATTTGGTAAAGTAGCAGGATACAAAATTAATGCACAGAAATCTCTGGCATTCCTATACTCTAATGATGAAAAATCTGAAAGTGAAATCAAGAAAACACTCCCATTTATCATTGCAACAAAAAGAATAAAATATCTAGGAATAAACCTACCTAAGGAGACAAAAGACCTGTATGCAGTAAATTATAGGACACTGATGAAAGAAATTAAAGATGATACAAATAGATGGAGAGATATACCGTGTTCTTGGATTGGAAGAATCAACATTGTGAAAATGACTCTACTACCCAAAGCAATCTACAGATTCAATGCAATCCCTATCAAACTACCACTGGTGTTTTTCACAGAACTAGAACAAAAAATTTCACAGTTTCGGGGCTTCCCTGGTGGTGCAGTGGTTGAGAGTCCGCCTGCCGATGCAGGGGACACGGGTTCATACCCTAGTCCAGGAAGATCCCACATGCCGCGGAGCGGCTAGGCCCATGAGCCATGGCCGCTGAGCCTGCGTGTCCAGAGCCTGTGCTCCACAACGGGAGAGGCCACAGCAGTGAGAGGCCCGCGTACCGCAAAAAAAAAAAAAAAAATTTCAAAATTTGTATGGAAATACAAAAGACCCCAAATAGCCAAAGCAATCTTGAGAACGAAAAATAGAACTGGAGGAATCAGGCTCCTTAACTTCAGACTATACCAGAAAGCTATAGTCATCAAAACAGTATGATACTGGCAGAAAAATAGAAATATAGATCAGTGGAACAGGACAGAACACCAAGAAACAAACCCCTGCACCTACGGTCAATTAATCTACAACAAAGGAGGCAAGACTGTACAATGGAGGAAAGACAGTCTCTTCAATAAATGGTGCTAGGAAAACTGGACAGCCACATGTAAAAAAATGAAATTAGAACATTCTTTAACACCATACACATAAATAAACTCTAAATGGCTTAAAGACCTAAATGTGAGACTGGAGATTATAACACTCTTAGAGGAGAATATAGGCAGAACACTCTCTGACATAAATTGCAGCAATATCTTTTTCAATCCATCTCCCAGAATAATGGAAATAAAAATAAACAAATGGGACCTAATTAAACTCAAAAGCTTTTGTACAGCAAAGGAAATCATAAACAAAACAAAAAGAAAACCCACATAACGGGAGAAAATATTTGCAAATGATGTGACTGACAAGGGATTAGTCTTCAAAATTTACAAACAGGTCATGCAGCTTAATATCATCAAAACAAACAACCCAATCAAAAAATGGGCAGAAGACCTAAATAGACATTTCTCTGAAGAAGACATACAGATGGCCAAGAAGCACATGAAAAGATGTTCAACATCACTAATTATTAGAGGAATGCAAATCAAAACTACGAGATATCCCCTCACATCAGTCAAAATGGCTATCTTCAAAAAATTCACAAACAACAAATGCTGGAGAGGATGTGGAGAAAAGGGAACCCTCCTATACTGTTGGTGGGAATGTAAATTGGTACCACCACTATGGAGAACAGTAAGGAGGTTCCTTAAAAAACTAAAAATAGAGCTACCATATGATCCTGCAATCCCACTCCTGGGCAAATATATGGAGAAAAACATGGTTCTAAAGGATACACGCACCCCAATGTTCATTGAAGCACTGTTTACAATAGCCAAGACATGGAAGCAACCTAAATGTCCATTGACAGAGGAATGGATAAAGAAGATATGGTACATATATACAATGAAATATTATTCAGCCATTAAAAACAATGAAATAATTCCCTTTGCAGCAACATGGATGGACCTAGGGATTGTCATACTGAGTAAAGTAAGTCAGGCAGAGAAAGCGAGATATCTTGTATCGGTTATATGCAGAATCTAAAAAGAAATGATACAAACTTATCTTATTTACAACACAGACTCACAGACTTAGAGAAGAACTTCTGGTTACCAGTTGGGAAGGTTAGGGGGAAGGGATAGTTAGGGAGTGCGGGATTGACATGTACACACTGCTATATTTAAAATGGATAACAACAAGGACTTACTGTATAACACAGGGAACTCTGCTCAGTATTATGTAACAACCTAAGTGGGAAAAGAATTTGAAAAAGAATAGATACATGTATATGTATCACTGAAAAAAAAAATAATGTTGACAATAATGATAATGGTTTAAGGCTATATATATATATATATGCAAATCTGGGACTAAAATACCAGAGATTAATCCATAAAGAAATTTTATTGAGCAATTTTAAGAAACGTTGTTTTCATACACAAATTATACATGACACCCCTATGTTTCTTTTGTCATTAGTTTCAAAAGCACAATTGCTTAAAAAGACAACACATATACCTGCACACAAAAACACACATCACTACTTTTCCAGGATGCTAGCACTAATGTTTCTAAGACAGTTTTCTCTTTTTTTCTCTACTTTAACTGAACACAAAATCTGACCCTAGCCACAGTGGCCCAAAATGACCTGGAAAATTAAGTTTATTTTTTCTGGCAATGACAATCTGTGCTTGGAAATATAAAACTGTTATTCTGAATAAATTTCAAAGTTCCAAAGTACTAGATTACTTTACTGAAACAGGACAAAATGAGCTGTTACTGGTAGGGAAAGGGATTGTTATCCCAGAAAGAACAGTGTGCTCTCCAGCCCTTGTTCTGTCACTTCTGTTTTGTAAAATAAATAACTCTGGTCTCTTTATTTTACTTTGTGTCCTGTGGTAATAAATAGCTCCTGAAGCTAAAATCCTATTACAAGTGCTCATTTTGTCACCATTTAAAAAAAAAAGAGGTCAGTTCTACTTTTGCAAAATAAGTTATTTTTCCACTGATTTGTTGAGGTTGTTCTGACTTCTGTGTATGTCTTCTAGCAAAAACAGCAAAAAAGAAAGTTATTCATTGCTTTTTTTCTAAAAAGAGGAGTCCATATGTCTCTGAGATAGGTGGACATTCAAGGGCGGAAGAGATATAGAATTATTACTTTGCTGATCTATAAATGTTGTTTTAGTTTTAAACTGTGGCAATAAAATCCCAAACACAGAACTATACTATCATTACAGGTACATTCTGCTTTCAGAATGCTAGATGAAAATTCTAGCAAAGCTACTGCTTATCGGAGGTCAGAGACAGGTAGGAGTCAGCTCAGTCTAGAGAGTAGATTTACAGATATGATCTAAGTACATATAGAAGTAAGCTGTGGAGTCTAGCAGCAAAGGGGATAAGTATGGTCTTGCCGTCCAGCCCATGGGCCTGTTTTACATTTTCTGCCAGTTGGGGAAATGGGAACCTGAAACATGTTTTATGCTCAATCAGAAATTGTGATAAAAAGCAAAAAGATTAGGGAGTGATAGTCAAAAGATTATCTTATTCTTTCTTCCCTAAGATGAGACTGGGCAGGGAGTGGGGGGCATGATTTAACAATCTTCGCTTTCTAATCAGACAATGGTCTCTCTAACTAGAGCTTATTATCATCAGCATTCTTCTCCACACTTTTCCTTCGGTGGCCATCTCCCCCTGCCCCACACACACACACTTACTTTTTCTTGCAACTCTTTCTACTGCTACCTATTTTACTATTAGTAGTACAGTGTAGTACAGCCATTTTCATTTCCTTTATCACATATCTTTCATGTATTTCATCAACCATCCCATTTCCATATCATACAGCAAAAGTACAGAAAGAAATAAAGAGGAAAGACTCCCCTTCCCTTCCCTTCCTTGATATCTACACTAACCTTCCTTGACTACACACAGAAAAAAAGGAAACACAGCAGGGCCTTCTCTAGAAAGAATAGCCAGCATAAAAACTAACATAAAAAGTTAACAAAAGAACAAGAAAAAAAAAGCCTTTGAAAGACCTCTCTGTCACTGTACACTGATCCACCCACCTCATGTCTTTTTCTATCCAATAAAGAACTGTAGCACAATTTCCAAGCCATTATGAAACACAAAGATTTGTTTTATCTGAATAATGAAATGGTTGTAATCTGAAGTACTCCTATTACTAATATAAGCTATATATCTATCTAACATGATTGTGTATAGAATGATGTACGCAAGCTGACTAAATAGATATACTGGCTGATCACTAGACAATTTAACCAGTTATATTACGGACAATCTAGAGGAATCAAATATAGGTAAGAAGTTATGGAAAACAAGTAACTGACATGCTCAGACTTAGCTTTAATAGGCTGTGGGATGCATGTACATATTTTTGGTTGCTTTATCATCAAGTACCCAAAACAGTGTCTGGCACATTATAGGCACTTGATCAATATTTGTTGTACAAATGTATCTAACTTAGGTCTGAAAAAGTGCAAAGCTGCACTTTATACTCTAAACATTTAGCAGGCCAAGGGCTGCTATCAGCTCACTTGTCCAGGACCCCAGGCAACTGAGCTGCTCCTGGCCTCCTCACCTCTCTGCACTGTATGGACAGCTGCCTGCCATTCAAGCTTTAAGAATATAACCATATTTATAAAATGCTTGGTTTTAGCGTTTTTAATCAATTTACTTAAACATTAAAAAAAATGCATTCTTCAAGTCATAAAAACTCTGTTAAAATAAATACATACTCTTTCATGCATTTCAAACACTTATGTTGTTAAACATTCTGTAACCTGGCCGGTTTCTTCTCACCAGTAAGCTTTTGTTCTCTAGGCCCAGAATGCCTTATTCCCTGTCTGTCTCTAGAAATATTTAGCTTTCAGGGGCCAATTCCAGTTCTATCTCCTGCATAAAGATCCTCCCTTGACCATCCTAATACTCAGGGATTCCTCTCCCCACCTTCTCCATTTTCAGAGAAGATACTATCTTATGTGACATTTAAATCAAACACTATCTTTTAGAGGTTTTTTTTTTTTCATGTCATTATATATCTGCTTCCTGACAGATGACTGGTATCTGAGTATGGGTATTGTTTCTTGCAGATTGTTTTGTTTTGTTTCTTTTAATCTCTACCACACAGGCTAGTACACGGAAGTAACTGAGTTGAGGGAGAGATAGGACACTCCATGTCTTCAAACACATCTAGGCACCATTTCTCAGGTAAGCATAGCAGAGCTGAGTTCCCTCTGTGCTTACTCTCTCATACTTAAAAGGTGAAGCAAATTAAATGCAATGGTTTAAAAGGTCTTTTCTAGTAACTGGACTTCCCTTCCAGTTCCTGCTAGATTGCCATTTACATAAATCTAAAGAACATGCAGTAGAAGTAAGCATCAAGTTAAATCAATGGCATGATTAACGTTAACAGGCAGCCCAAAACAACATGCACAAAGGATAAAAGCATATCTGAGAGCTGACTGCAATTTTTAATTAAAAACTAACGACTGGTGATTAATTAAGAGCTGACTATAGATTTACTTTAAAAACTGAATGATTAATGACAGTTAAGGTTTGAGGTTTTAATTCATAATTTGTCAATCAGTTTCAAAGAGATATATTTTTAATTATGCTGTTAGCAATGTATGCATTGCCAAACTAAACATGGGAGAAATGCTTTTGCCTGAGGACAGCTATAAATTAACGGGGAGGAAAGTAGCATAGCAACGGTGAAAAAGAATTGATTGTTAACCAGATTAAATGAGTTGATGTCTATGTAAGGCCTTAAAACACGGTAAAATAAGAATTAAGGTGAAACTGAAATAGACCCTTATAGAGAGACATACTTAAAATTTTTGCATCAAAAAAAAAAAAAATTTTTTTGCATCATAAAAAGTTACAAACTAATTATAATTTCTGTAGTGGTTTACTACTTATTATTTGTTTTGCAAATATAGAATAAATATCACTTAAATTTTAAACAGACCCATTAATGTCAGTTTTTTTTTTTTTTTTAATTAGTTTTTGTTTGTTTGTTTTCTGAAAAGCTGCTAGAAAAATATCTAAATATAGTATTTGGCCATTGCTGGAGCCCTCTTTTCACAAGAGGTCCACAAACACCTGGTCAAATACCATGCCAGAATTATATATCTGTCTTCTTTCACAGGCTGAACATTCTTTGCACTGAATTGAATTCTACAGTTTTGACCATTACAATTATTCCCTTCCTTACCCCACCAATTCACTGCAGATCCTCTGACTAAAATAAATATAAAACCTCTGAATTCATTCTCCCATGTTTTAGAATTATCTGTTAAAATGCTCCTAATGTTGTGCTGTAATAACATAATATCATACCTTTTGGATTTCTTCAGGTAATGCATGCATGGGAATGTGACGATCCATAATTTCTCAAGATATACTGAGGGAGCTCTGAAGTAAAATAATCTAAAAACATTGATGGTGATAGTCAGAATTAAAACAATGTGAAGAAAATTCAAATTAAAAGAAATAAATTCCTAGGAGTATTTGGGGATCAATGGTGATAACTGTTTCAACAGATGTTTGTTTCATCAACTCAAAGTTAAAAGGTACAAATGGGTTTTTTTCAGTTAGTTATGAGGCCAATAGAACAGGAAAGACCTTGAGAGAGACTACTGAATTAGAAATAATACTTTCTCTCTTTGGAACTTTATAGTCTAATTGTAACTTCTGTGGTGGTTTACTACTAGTTATTTGCTTTGCAAATACAGAATAAGGATAACAAAATTTTAAACGGATCGATTTATTTCATTTAAAAGAAAGTGGTTTTTTCTGAAAAGCTGCTAGAAAAAATATCTAAATAATTTTAGTTCAGCAGATAAGAAAAGCAATTGTGACATGAATGCTGGTTTAAATGATGAAGTGCAGAAAAAGATATTTAGGGTTATCAGATTAAGTATGATATGCAGGCACTGAACAGAAGAGTCATCAAAGCATGAGAAGCCAAGTGCCAATTTTACCACAGATGAACATTTACATAATTTTTATGCAGATGTTTTACTTTTAGTAGATTTTCATTTTCTAATGAAACAATTCAATACAAAACTCTATCACTACTTTCATAAAACCACGCAAGACGAATGAAGGGGCACTTTGGGTTCTTTGTTTTAAATCCTTCCCAAATGTGGAGAAAGAATAGACAGTCCAGTTTCAGGAGTGAGAGATATGTATATATAGAAAGAGAGAGAGAGAGAGAGAGACAGAGGAGTAGTGAAGGGGGACAGCAGAGTAAGATGATACAGGCACAATTCCATAGCAGGAAAGAAGGCCTGAGGGCCAGGAGTTGTAGACAAGGAACAAATCTCGAAGTTCAGGAAAAAAAAAGTCTTATCTTTCTCATGGGAGTAGGGAATTAGTGAAGGCTACCTGAGGTGGTTTACTTTTGATCAGGACAAGATTTTGACAGAGAGACTGAAGAGGCATAGTACTCTTATCAGAGACAGTAACCCCAGCAACATAGCAAGGTGCCAGGAAAATCGTAGTTGACAAAAATTCTTGTAGAGGCAGTATTTTTTTAATTGTGCGAGTATTGGTGGAAGAGAGGATTTCCCATCCCCTGTGGTAGCACAGAGCTCCACATTTTAACGAGCTGCTGTTTAAAACAAATAGCTAATGGGCTGGCTTCTGACATCAACATAATGTGTTTCTGCGTGCCGGGATGGGGGGTGAAGTTAACTGATGTAGTTAACATAGGCCCACATGGCCAAGTACATAATCATCTGATGTTTGGCAGACTGTCATGGTGATGTGGCAAGAGCTCATTCCTCACAGAAAGCTCATTATTCTCATTTCTGCCATTTTACAATGGGCTCACCATCAGTAAAATAAGATGGCATCATCTTAATTAAACTCTACTGGGAGCAGAATTTTTCCTAAAATTACCAACTAAATCTCATTTTTAAATTTCACGCATAAATTCATTTGAGAGCATGGATCTAGAGACACTATAAACAAGGTATAGTTGAACAGTATCATTATTCTAAATCTATTCCAATTTTGTGGCCTTATTATACCGAGTGGGAAAAATTGGTAGGTCTGATTATTGAGGAAAAATTAAAAACAAAATATCCTGCCAATCCAGAAAATCTCTCCATGATGCAGAGAGAAAACAATTTTATTACTGAATAAGCATTTAACTAGACTGTGATGCACAGCACAGCTAATCTGCTAATGAGATTACAAAGACAGAAGGAAATCCCACGCTTTTTAATACAGCCAAACAGATACACTCCATTACATACAATGTTCTCAAGATAAATGATAACTTGTCCTCAACACAGCTTGCTGTACTCTCTTTCATAGTTTGTTTTCAATTCAACTGGTAATTGAAGTAGCCACCTGTGCTAGCTAAGAGCGTTTGTTCTAAGGAATACATCTCTATGACAAAGCAGGTGGTTACTAGAAGTACGAAACTCTCAAGGTAATATGGAGATAGGGGCCTTATCTTCCTTGATGTTTACATTCTAAAGAAATGGCTCCCAGGTGCTCCAGAAGAACATTCTGGGTCTTTAAAATATGTGCATACATATTAAAGGAATAGAGGAAGCCCTCACAAATAAGAGGTTTCCCAAGAAAGGGAGGCGAGAGGTCTCCTTCCCTTTAGGCAAGAGGGAAATTTTTTAATTTTTAATTTGCTCTTGCATTGTTTTACATTTTTTATCAAAAGAGACTCTTTTATTCTCTCACATTACACACTTTGTAGACTGCCCTTAGACAGGGGGTGAGGTGATAACCGGCAGCAGCTGCGTAGGTATTTGTGAACCACCTCTCTGACAGGATCACGAGGCAGATGTCAAAATTACAGACACGTCCCCGACTGCTCACTTCCGATTCCCTTCCTGACACCAGTGTCACGTTGGGCCATTAACTCACGTTCAGCTCTCAGGCCCTTCCCTAAAGAACTATTCCCTTGGTGTGAATCACCCACAGATGAGTAGGTCAGGGTCAGGTGAAGCGGAAGTTCACGTCCTAAGACTTTTCTAAAGGGGCGGGATTTTCCAAACAGAAACCAACTGCAAGTCCAGCCAAAACGGCTGCAGGGGTTTTGAAATCTGTCCCTTTCTAACCCCGTTCCATCGGGACCTGCGGTGGCAGGAAGAGGAGAAGGAGGAGGAGGAGGGTGCGGGGTGAGGCCGAGCCGCGCACTCGCGGGGAGAAGAGGGCGTCGGGCCCGGCGGGCTTGCGGAGACACTACAGGGGCTGCAGCTGGGGTCAGAGGCTAGGCGCCGGGCCCATCCACTAGGCGCGAGACCACGGCTCGGCTTTCCGGCCCTCTCCCCGGGAGCCAGCACGCCTCCGCTCCGGAACTGCGCCCGGGGACCGGGTCATCCCAGGGCTCAAGGAAACCTTCCATTGTCTCTCACCTAGACTTCAATTCTGCCGGGTGCGAAACGGCTTTCCCGGTCTCCCAGGACACAGTGCTGTACGTCGACCTGACGTCAGGGCGCGATGACGTCACGCCCACGCCGCTCCCCAACGCAGAAGCGGGACTCCCGGGCGCCGCCCGGGGTCCCAAGTGCTGCGCGGAGGCGGGAAATCTCGTGGCGGGGCTCGGAGAAAGGGCTGGGTTTACGCTGGGGGCTGTGAGAGGGAAGCAATGGGTGAGAAGGGCGAGGCAGGGGAGGGCGGGCTGGAGTGGGGGAGGGAGACGTTCCCAGCCGTGCGGCGGGTTGGAGAGACGCTGGCTGAGGTGGAGGCCAAAGCCCGCCTACCTCTCACGTCAGGCCCCAGAGTCCTTGTGGCTGACGCAGCAGTGGGCAATTACTGTTCTTGAGCGGAAAGAAGAGGGATGCCTGTAGAGGTCATGGGTGTAAAGGGAAGCTCTGGTCTCAGTCATTGCAGGGAGGGCAACTTAATTGGGAAGGTGTTAGTAAAATTTTCATAGTCCAAAAGTAGTCCAAAAGTAGTCAAGATGAAAGGCTTAGTTCAAAAGATATCTTGAGACCCGCTAGTCCACAATTTATAGAAGGCTGCCCACCCTTACACGTGACTTACTTTCCTTTCTTCGTTCAAAAGAAAGTGTTTATGGATGACCTACTACGTAATAAGCAACTGCATACCAGGCTGGGGTGATGCTCAGTGACTGAATCCATGCAGGGAACTCGTTCATAGTCCAGGTCTCTCCTTTGAGGATTTTATGAGGTCCAAAATGCAGCTCTTCCAAGAAATAGAACATTCGCAGCTTGCTAGCCGGGTAAGAGACTTACTACTATTGAATGAAATAAGGTTGAGTAAATACAAAGAAAATACAAAATACACTTAACCTGATTGATATTTTTGCCCCAACGTCTACCAGTGACTTTCTGTTTCCACTCCCTAAAAGAGAGCATCTTTCTTCATTTGGAAAAGATAAGCAATAATTAGAGGATGGAAGAGAGGGTTAAGGGAAGCAGAGGACAGCCAATGAAGTGGTCAAGTACAGCATGTTTATGAGAAATGCAAAGAACTTTCAGAGCTGTTCATCCTCAGCATGTTTCTTTGAGGGACAATGAAGTAGGATTGTTCTCATTTTGTAACAATGGGGGTTTAGGTTAGGGGGTTTAGCATCCAGATCCATGGAGTGCTTTATCTAGAACAGGAATTGCACACCTAAAGCAAGATCACTCTTCTGAGGCTAGTTTGGCTGTTGTATGATTATTAGCATTAATAATATTTATTGAGTACTTTGTATATATGATAAGGAAACACTTTAAGGATGGGAGAAGATCCAGCTGCAAGGCTGTAAGTCATTGTGTGGTCTCATTTCACCTGTGCTTATTCATCTCTACAGTGACATTGAGACCGATTTTCCTTCCACTGTAAATGTCCCTTAGACCTTCACACTGTCCAATAAGATAGGCACATGTGACTACTTAATTTGGTTAAAATGAAATAAAATTTCAAATTCCATTCCTTTATTGCACTGGCCACATTTCAAGTCCTCAGTAGGCACATGTTACTACCACATGAGACAGCACATATATAGAACATTTTCATCATCAAAGAAAGTTCTGCTGAACACTGGTAGACCCAGTAAGAATTTACAGGATAAACAGAGTTGATAAATTGTGAAGAACAGACCTTGTTAAAAGAGTAGCAGCGAAAAGTTGTATTCCTGAACACCACAGACCCACCCCTGCCCTCACTCCATATAAGGAACCAGCTCGCCCCCCACACCCCCTCCACCCCACCCCTGCAGGGAGCAAGCAAGAGAACCTGTTGTTTTCGCTCCCTAGTGCTGCAGTAGGATTCCCCGCAAAGCCTTGCCTGGAAGGAAAAAAAAAAAGATAAAGATGAAGAGTTGTAACAGGGTTTTACAAAACAGGTTTTTAAAAAAGTTAAAAAAAAAAAAAAGTAATCCAAAAAGCCTCTTCCCATTGTTGGTGTGTGTTTTTTCTTGACTCTTGCTTGGTCTCAGTCTCTCCCTTTACCTCTCCAGGTTTTTTTTCCTTGTCCCTTTTGTTTTTCCAGTCCTTTTCCCCACCCCATTACTGGCCATACTGGAACTGAAGCAGAATTTAAAGCATTTCCATCATTGGACATACTGAATAAAGTTTTGTTTTATCCTCTTCTTAAACTAGGTAAGTTTCACTTTTTATTGTGACTTTTAAAAATATTTTAAAAATAATCAGTGAAAACCAAATTGATTTCCTTTTAACCTCTTCTGTGACCCTTTATTATTATTTTTCTCCTGTGGGTCAATGACCCCTGAGAGCGGGGGGGGGGGGGGAAATACTCCCTAGTTTTGGAAGTAGAGTCTCTGTAAAGTGATAAACTAGGGCTTTCCACATGGTCCGCACACCTTTGTGTTGTAGCATTAACATTTGTGAGAACACAGTGTCTATGCTTCTGTTATGAATTTGAATTTACCTAAGATATTTATCCAGCAAGGCATTGTCATTCATCCCATTCATTCTGGTAAGTAATATTATGCCCCCTCCTCTCCTCTCCCTGTGCCCACATGAAAAGCATTTGGGAGAATAGGTACTTTGTCTGCAAGTCTGATACAAAGACCAGGAAGTCTACCCAAGATTGCTTATTTTAAAGTGAGCTCAAAACTGTACAAAGGGAGCATGACAAAATTACAGTTAGCCCAACTTTATTTTTATCCTGTGAATCAGAACACAGTACAACACAACACTGAGATCCTCAAGAGTCTGAAAAAAATCGTTGCAGACGGGCTTCCCAGATTGGAAGCAACGATGGCTTTCACTGCTATTTCTGGGTTCCATCCAATGCAAGTGCAGAATTTTTTAAAAGCTAACATTTACTGGGCTCTTTCCTGGCATTTCATACACAATGTCTCATTTATGGAGAATCTTTCCAAACATAACTCAGTCAGATCCTATTTATTGTTTACTCTCACTCAAATGATGGAAGTGGCCAAGGGCATGACCCAACACTTGAGCACTAAAGTATACTTGGACCGAATATGAGTGTAAGCAGAAGCACCTGGGACTCCTGTATTGGGTTAGCTGACTCTGCCAGCCAGCCAGTATCCACGGGACCTCAGCCTGCTATGGATGTCACATGTAAATACCCAAGAAGTATTTAATTCTGGAAATGTAACTTTGTGTTATACTTACTTTTTTCATAACTTTTCCCATACAGCTTCATTTAAAAAAAAAAAGCTACAAGTGACCACCTGCTTTTTGTACTTACCACATTTTATTCCCACCAAAATGTGGATAGGATTTTCTTTTCTGTTTTTTTTTAACTGCTAATCAATAGTTAGACTCCTTTGTAAAACTGCTTTGTCTATTTTGAACCCCAAATAACTCTGGTCTAGAGGTGGCTTGAACACAAAATACTATTTGTGGGTTTAGACTCTGTATATTTTTGAATCCATCACATGTGCAGTGTAAACTAGAGTACCTAATAAAATGAAGGTCACAATGTTTAAATAGAGCTTCTCTCTAGGAGTTCAAATGTTTTGTCATCTGTGCAGAAATAAATTGTGTACTGAACTCTTTTTAGCCCTAAGAATATGATTATTGAACAAAATTTCCAATGAGACAAGTTAGGCCTTAAAGCAATAAAACATTTACTTTCAAATATTAAAAGTCAGGCTCAACAGTGAAACTTTTGATGATCATAAATGTATTCTTTTGTGGCCTGTTCACTGTTGGTAAGAGCTTTACCCAAAAATGTACTGTGTGCCAAATATAGTTTAATATTTGTCAAACGAATATGTTTATTTTTAATTGAGATATAACTGACATATAACATTATATTAGTTCCAGGTATCCAAAACAATGATTCAATGTTTGTTTATATTGTAAAATAATCACAAGTCTAGTTAACATCCATCACCACACATAGATGTGATGAGAGCTTTTAAGATCTACTCTCTTAGCATCTTTCAAATATACAATACAGTCACGATGCTGAACATTACATCCCTAGGACTTATTTTCATGAATATATTTAAAAACACAAAAAGAATAAACCTCTAAGGTAGTGACTTAAAACTCTTGTAATGCATTTGATGCTCAAAAATATGGCACTGATAGTTCTTGAAACCTTAGCATCCAATATCTAGCCTATAACAAATGTTAATGAATTCAAAGACCGAACATAGACAACTGCCTTATGCATTTAAAAAACAACTTTTTAAAGAACTTGCTTGTTTAATGAAATTATTACTTGTTTCTGAGATTTTCATAAGATTCTAATGAAGCACCTAAGAGCCTAACATGTTTGATACGTGACTGGCAGAAGTGATTTCATTCTGCTTTTATAGAGATGAAGTTCATGATTCTGCACCTATAATTTTAGGTAGCTATGGAATTTATAAGAATCGAATTAGGGCAATTTTCCTGTCATTTTGTTATATCTCTATTAATAGAATATTTTAATACCATTAAATAAGGAGTTGTGAATCATCTTAAAGAGATTTTCTTATGAACTAAAATCAAACATTATTATCAGACCTATCAAACATTTGAATTTTTTTTTTTTTTTTTTTTTGGCTGCACCATGCAGGATCTTAGTTCCCGGAACCTGTGCCCCGTGCAGTGGGAGCGCAGAGTCCTAACCACTGGACCATCAGGGAATTCCCTATCAAACAGGTGAAAAAAGATTAAAGTAATGATAGTAGCCTTGGTTTGCAATGGTGTAGAGCAACTAGCACTCTTAAACACTGCTTTTAGAGTGAAAAAATTAATGTATTTTAATACATTATGTTTTAAACACCTTGAAATGTTCAAAACTATTATAGTGGACACCTGATTCCCCCTTCTTCCTTTTGTTCAGGAATCCAGACCTCATCACCCTCCCCTCCCCTCCCTCCACCCCTAAGCACACGTGAATCAGCCCAACTCCAGGAATGAGCTCAGATTAGGTCAGTTCTACTGGCCACTTCCCCTTTACCAGTTATTTAAATCAGGAATGGGCCTATGACCCAATTCTCCAAGAGAAGGCTGCTGGAAGCTTCTGGGAGAGTTCTTTGTTATTAGCACATATATTTAGTGTTCATCACAGTCTTGTTTATAATGTTTAAAAATCTGAAATACCAAAATGAAATAAATTGACTTATCAAACAAGAAGACTGTGCAGCTGTTTAAAATGATGATGTAGTTTATTGGTGATGAATGTCCCAGTGAATTCTATTCTTCTTTTCTATGAAAAAAAAGCAAGTTACAAATAGTGTTATAAATTTTTAAAACGTATTCCACACAGCATTCTAAATATACATTTTGTTCATTATTACTATCAATGTATATTCTGTTAGAATATCAAGGTACCTCACAGAATCAACAGAAGAACTAAATAACCAAGCTTCAAGAAAGCAGGAAACAGGGCTGCTTTGAGAGCTCTGGAACTCTAAGAAGTCATGGAAAGTCTCAGCCCTCTGAATCTACCACTTACTGAAAGTTGGTTCCTTTCTCTTTTACAGTGTCTGCATGTGGTAGGGCAGTGGTGGCTGACAGTCCAGTTTTGACACCAAGAGGAAAAGGGGCTTCTATTCCCAACCTCCAGTTAGAAAAATGCCAGGAGATGACTGTTTAGCACACCTTGAGTAACACACTGATTCCTTGACCAAATCACTGAAGCCAGGAGGAGACAGGTACCTGCCTCCTGACCAATTGTGGTGACCAGGGAGGCAAGGCCACACATGATGACACCTCCCTTTCTAATTACATGTCTAGAAGAGCAAGGCAGAAGCAGAATCCGAGAAGGGGCAGTTCTGTCCCAGAAGACAGGAAGAGTGCTAGGCAGATAAAATAAACGTTCCTACATACACAAGTGAGAATCTGAGTTAGCTGGGAGAACATTTTAAAATTAAACAGCGAATCTTGCTATCTTTCCACATGTGGTAAATTGAGAGGTGAACATGTGTCTTCTGAAAGAGCTTTCTGGGAGTTTATGATAGGTATCCTAACCCCGGAGAAGCCCCTCTTATATAATGGTGTGTTACTTGTGTAACAAGTGTGTGTGTAACTAGGCACCACAGGCCCAAGGGTAATAATAGGGAAATAAATAAATGCATAGATCCACCAAATCAAACTTTAAATAAATAAGTTAATGTGGTATTTTGAGAGCTTAGACGACTGGAGTGGTCTTGTGTGTTAAACTGTCTTTGTGTTAATATTTTTGTTTTTCTCTCCAAACTTGATTTATCTACAAATCAACAAATACTTGAATTATATAAACAGATATCTGAGTGAAAAAAACATTTTTCCCGCACGTGATCTTGAGAAGGAACTTGGATTATGGCGTCCTGTGAAGTCACTTTTTTTTCTTTTAAATGTCCTTGGGACTCTCGAGTCAACATGTAATAGAGGGCTCTCCAGTTACTACGTCATTAAAATCAGGCTCCTCTTCTTTTAAAATAAAACACTGGCAAGAACGCTTCTAGGAGGAATGACAGTTTGCACAGCATCACAACTCTGTTACTAATTCTTGCGCAGAGTGCACAAAATTTGCGTCCCAAAGCCACCGTCCTTGCTCTGATTCCTTCCTGTGATAGCATGTCACACGAACCGCACCTGTGTGCCCTGACTCTTAATGTAAAGCTTTCGTTGGAAAGTTTCCCCGGAACGACTGCTTACTGATAGACCAGCTCTGGTTCCCAGTTCGTTTAATACATCCTGTCTGAGCGGGTTTTATTACCAAATGTTACCCAGGTTCCGATAACAAGGAGACGCCGTGTCCTCTCCGGTGAACTCACTCCCCGTCCCAGAAGTATAGCGTGACTCCTCTCCCGGCTGCGGTTATAAAAATGGAAACTGGGCGCCGCCCTCCTGCACCTGTGCTCCTGCCCCGCGATGGCGAGGCTGCCGGCGAGGCTAGGAGGGCGGACCGGGGCACGAAGTGCGTGCAGCTGCCGGGCGGAGGGTCACGCAACCCCGCGGCCCCGCCCCCGGCGGTTTGCGCTCGCCGCTTCCGCGCTCACCCGGGCTTCCTGGCCAGCCAAGTGTCCGCCTCGCGTGCCGACCCGGCCGCCTAAGCCCGCGAAGAATCCGGTTCTGCCCGGCCCCCGCCGCCGACTTGAGCCCAAGCGGCTGATGCGCTCATTTTAAGGCCGAAAAGTGCCCAGCTCCGCTGCTGTAAAGCAAACAGCACGGGCGGCGGGACGAGGGCGAAGGGGAACGCAGGCGAGGAATCGGTCTCGCCCCGCGGACACCTGTCGGCTTCCTGAGCTGCCCCGGCGCTTGTTCGCTGCCTGCCTTGCCCGGGAGCGCGGTCGCGAGCCACAGCAGCTTCGCGCCCCACCGATGTTGTGCCCCGGGATAGGGACACCCGGGAAGGGGGTCGCGCCCCCCCCCCCCCCCCCCCCCGCTCCCCCCCCCCCCCCCCCCCCCCCGGGGGGGGGGGGGCCCCCCCCCCCCCCCCCCCCGCCCAGCGCGCCACCGCAGCCCCGCCTGCCGGGAACCCGGGGCGCACGTGAGGCGAGTGGCGTTGCCGGGCGACTGACCACGTTGACCCGGCGCTTTCCCACAACGAGGGGGTTGGCAGCTGTGCGTCAGGGGGCGGTGAGGGACTGGGTCGAGGCTGAAAAGAACGAAGGCCACCGCCTGGGAGGTCAGGTTATTTGTTGACGTCCGGAGGCCGTCTTTCTGCAGCCTGAGAACGGCGGCGTGGTGACAAGCAGTCTGGGTCTCCAAGGAGCGGCGAGGCGCGTCTGCACGAAGGCTTCGGGGTGGGCGCGCCGGCGGCCCCGGCGCCTCTCACGCTATGCCGCGTGCCGCCGAGGCTGCGCGTGTCGTGACGAGCGGCGATGAGCTTAGTCAGTTACCACAGCGTCAGGGCTGGGAAGTGCAGCCTGTCACGCACCCCGGCCTCTGCGGCGCGCCGGCCCTGACCCGGCGGCTTGGACGCGCCGGCTCTGGCAGAGGGAGCTGGGGGTGAATCAGCCCCTTCCAGGGGCCAGAAAATGCGACGTGCACAGTTACGGGGTGGATTCCATGAGCAAACCCGTTTGGGAGGCGCACACTGATGATGACCTCTGTGAATCGGTGTCTTATACTTTGCCCAGTAGGTAACTGTCTAAAAACCACTCTAACACGGAACTCAAAAGTCGTTAAAATGTGCCTTTAATTTGCTTATATTACTTCGTTTGACAGGCGGTGCACAGGGTTTGCATATGCTTGCGTGAAATTCAATCTACACAGTCAAGTCAGGAGGCATGGTTTGGCAAGAGGGATAATTGTGAATTCAGTACGAGAGTCAGGGTACAAACAGTATGATTACTTAAAAGGACAAATAAACTGAAAAAAAAAAATTGACCATGACACGAGGAAGCCATTACATTCATCCTTTCATGGTCTTGAACATCTTGTACCAACTCAGCTATAACACACAGCAGAAACTTATAATTAGACACAGAAAGTGCAAGTATTTAGCTCACCAGGCAAACATAAAAAATAAAAAAGCTTTATGTTATAGACACATGCTTGACATCTATAACATAAGAGAGGTATATCTTTAAATTTTTTTGTATTTCAGTCATTTCCTTAGTATACATGTGACTCCCTGGTAGGTATGCCACTATGAAACAAATAGAATTAATCACAAAATGCAGAAAAATCTCTGCTCTGAATTTTAAATATTTGTTATGAGAAAAAATTTTTTAAGAGATTGCAGTGTTCGTATGATGCAAGTTCAGTAAGGAAATAGGGACTTGAACCTAAGTGCCTAGCAAACTGCATCAAATGAATGTTTTGAATGAAGTAAAGAATGAGTGAATGAATGAATGTGTAGGCAGTCCTCTGATGGTTAGAGCTGTGAACTAAAATGTCTTGAGTAATGCAGCCCTGCCACTGACTCATGTGGGATCCTGGTATGAAGGAAATAATGCTTACAGCATACCTGCTTCACCAGAGGTGTGGGGAGGACTATTCCTTACTCACCAAAGGTGCTTTGAGATCTTTGGAGGAAGGTGATACATTCAAATATTATAAATAATACACTGCAATTATGACGGCCCATATATAAAATTAGAAAAGTATAAAATAATATTTAAATACAACTGTGCCACCAATTTTTGTTTGTTTGTACTTTGTCTATCAAATACTGAACTACAGTGTGGGAGGCTGCATCCTTACATAATCTATTTGGTTTATAGACGTTTTATTGTCAGTTGACAAAAAGCTCATGATGTGCAATGGAAGTTTGATGTTTATTTATTTATTTTTGGCCGCACCGAGTAGCTTGCGGGATCCTAGTTCCCAGACCAGGGATAGAACCGGGGCCCTCAGCAGTGAAAGCACAGAGTCCTAATCACTGGATCACCAGGGAATTCCCTGCAATGGAAGTTTTAAATAATTGATATTTGAGTAGTATTTGTGGTGATGGTATTTCATAAGAGAGCTGAGACCTCTGGCCTATGAAGTGCCTAGAAGAAAACTTATTTTTGATGACTTTCTAATTTGATCTGTGGAATCTTGAAAGCAAGAGACCATCTTGGTGTATTTTCCTGATGCTCAGTGACTGAAAGTCTAGGATTAGAGATTTACTTAATCAACATATTAAGGGACCTACTGTGTGCCAGGCATTGTTATAGATGTTGGGGATAGAGCAGGAAACGGACAAAACTGATTGATTAGTTAATGTTTAAATGTTTTTGCCTCTATTTAAATGCAAACCACCTTAGGAATAGTAATACAGTACGTACATCCTTGTGTAAATGTAAAATTAGCTCGTCATCTCAGCTTTTAGAAGAGATCTCCTGAGAGGGGAAGGAAGTCACTACAGAGTGGTAAGTGGTTTTAACTTGAATCAGAAGGCAGATACCATGCTTAATCAGCCTCTTCTATTTAGAAAATCGTAAGACGAAATCACTCAGTACTGCCTGTTTTCCATTATTCTTCATTTCAAAGTTGCCCACATCTTTCTTAATGCCCTCTGCTATCATTGTAAGGCTCTGCATACCTTTTCTGCCCAGCCGCCATACACTTGTGCAGTTTGTTGACTGCATAATGGTGCCTGGCAGAGGAGGTGGAGAGGCTTTGAACTCCAGCCCCTAGCTTCACCTCCTAAGATATATACCATCCACCTGAGGAAGGGGTGCCTTCTTAAAAATTTGAACAAAGCACCATAGGGCACAGGGGCTCTCTTTGTTCTTCAGAGTTCTCAGGCACCTAGCTCCCATCTGCCCCTTGACGTGTATTTTCATACTGTATTTAATAGCACTGCTCTGTTATGAGTCGCAAGACAGGGAGCACTGGGGGATGGGGAGAAGCCAAGGCTGAAGGAGAAATGAACCAGCCTGTCAGCTTCCAGGATGTCCAATTAATATCTAGATCAATGGGGACTTCCCTGGTGGCGCAGTGGTTAAGAATCCGCCTGCCAATGCAGGGGACACAGGTTCGAGCCCTGGTCCGGGATCCCACATGCCGCAGAGCAACTAAGCCCAAGAGCCACAACTACTGAAGCCCACGCATCTAGAGTCCGTGCTGCACAAGAAGAGAAGCCACCACAATGAGAAACCCACGCACTGCAACGAAGAGTAGCCGCCACTCACCACAACTAGAGAAAGCCCATGCGCAGCAACGAAGACCCAACGCAGCCAAAAATAAATTTATTTTAAAAAAAATCTAGATCAATGAAGACTAGCCAAGGCATGATGCTGTGTGAATGTTCTGCAGCAAAAGTGAAACAATGCTGGAGCAACAGCCTGCCTTTTCCGTTTTAGCAAACTGGAAGACCTGTCAACTCACAACAGGTTGCTCAGTACTGCATTGCAACCGGAGAACACGATACCATCAGACAACATGGCTCAACCTTTTGGTTGCCCTTATTTGTAGGATTTGATGTCAGATGACTTGATAGAGGATATATGTCCTGCTGAACCCTGGGGACAACCTTGGTATTAAAGCCTTTTCCTTTTCCCATTGCTAACTTCTCTGTGGTCTGTTGATGTTAATTCATGTTGCAAACAATGAGTGGTAGAGACTGCAGTCAAGATGTAGTGACCTGATTAGTCCAAACTCCTGCAGGGGAGACGTGCAAATAGATAAGCCCCAACAGGATCTGAAGAACCATGTGGTTTTGAAATCCTGGGTGGATGGGCCCCACCCTGTATACACCTTAAATCTCCTGGTTCTCTGAAGGTATAATTATTGCTCAACAACTCAGGGGATGGGTTAATTAGATTTTTGTATGATTTGATTATAATAAACTTAATAAAATGTGCAAATGTGTGCATAAGATAGATATATTTTTAAAACATGGAATTAATATCATATAAGAGCATAAAAATGATCCAACTGCATTAGCATCTTTTAAAATATAGTCCCTTTCTAATAATAGTTAAGCAGATAGTTTTGTAGCTTAACATATAGGACTAAAGCAAATGCAACATATGAAGGAATGTGTTTACTCAGCACTACACAATTTATCATTTCACTTATCAAGTAAAGATTCCTATGGTATTTCTTAAATTAATTAATGATCATTATCTACAAAATCCTTTAGAGAGTATTGCTTTCAGTTTTATGTAGTTTCAAAGTGGAGAAACAGATGAAAGATTCTATAAACCTTATACCTACTAAAGATAAGAATTAAAGCAATTGTGGAACTTTACAGGTAGAAGACACCTGGTAAATATAGTTTATTATTATAAGCTGATTAATATAATTCCCTACTTGAGACAATAAATGTAGCACACAATAGATTGTCTCCTGTTTGATGACAGAGACTGCTTGTTGTTGATATTTGCATCGCCCTAGTACCACCCAATAAATGGTGATGATTGAATGAATCAATTAATGAATGAGTATGAGAGAAAACCCATAAGAACTATCCTCCAAGCACTTCACTCTAATCCCTAGGCCCTCCCAGTTTCTCTCTTGCTGAGTGCCTTCCCAGATTATTGATGCCTTACGTGAGCAATCAGGAAAAAGGAAGCAATGCGGATGGGAGGCTAGCTGTGGTCAGATGCCTCTGAAATGAACAAAATATTTGCAGATGTTTCAACAAGTGGAGGGGTTGGGCTGAGTCTAGGCCACAGGAAACAACTTCCACACCTTGGGGCTAGTACAATAAAGGTATCATCACTCACCAGCACAGGATTCTGTTGGAAACTTGAAAAGGCACTCAAGGTTGGAATGCTGCATGAATCCAGACTTGCCTCAGGAATGCCACAAGTGATCAGAATTAAGTATAGAAATTAATGTGATTTGTAAAAATATCAGTAAGGATCATGGTTATCTGGGAATCAAATCCTTTAATCACTTTAGACAGAACTAATGAAACTAGAAGAAACCATCACTGATTTTGAGAGTCTCCTTCTAAATTAGTTGGCCTTTGGCTTTTGGAGAGCAAAGTTCAAATTCCAGTTCCTGTCTGACAGGAAAATAAGTCAGACACAAAGTAGATAGATAGTCTTTTAGACTCCAAACTGAAACAGCAGGGCATAAAGGAGATCTGAGTCTTAAAGAACATTTGTGTTTGGAATTGCTGAATTCATTCACCTACTGTGGTATTTTTCACTGTGCCTTTTGAGGCTGTCCGCTTTAGATGGATTATATTTGTCTTTGTTGGCAAATCTGTGCAAATGTAAATAAGGAGTTTTATATTTTCTAATGGAAAATTTCGAAATTCTACTATGTTCTGTGCACGTTGTCTTCTGGAGCATGTTAACTCTCTAGCTGTGTAGTGGAAGATGGGGCACATGATTATAAGTATCAACTGCTTGATAAGATAGTAATAAGATACAAAGACACCTTATAAAGCTCAGAACAAGGTACCGCCATTTATTGGCTTTGTGCCCTAGTCATATTACTACCCGAGACTATTTTCTCATCTCTAATACGGCAACAATTGGAGGATGGTTTTGGTTTTGGCTCAGAGGGCAAGGAGGAGACTATTTTCTAAAACAATTTTCTATACGCTTGGCAACATTGGATTTGTTCCATAAAATCCTAAACTTTTAAAGTGAGAAGAACTTATAGTAGCATAGCTGTAGACACTTTACTAATAGAGTTAAGCTTTTTATCACCCCCAAATGAAAGTTTTTTGAAAAATTATAAAGAATAAAAGAAAGT